AGGAAAGGATATGAGTAGTGTCAAATAGAATAATAATTTATATATATGAAATAAACTAACAACGTTTATATGTATATAAGGAAGTTATATTCCCATAATGATTATCACTTTAGCAATTTCAAGAATACCGCAGCAATGGCCAAATGTGGTATGGTTCTTTAACTGATTTAATATTCAGAAAAGTGCATGCATATTAAATTTGCGTATTTATTATTTGGGTCATGGCTACATAATGTCCGTTGCCAGTCTATTAAAACAACGGCAACAGATTTTACATTTAAGCGGTGGCAAAGCTAAAAGAACTCAAACCCATCGACAACTACTTAAAACATTTCTAGACCAACATTTTCAACAAAAATCAATAAAATAAACAAAAAAAAAAGAACAAAAACATTAAGTTGTGCTAATAAACTTTTTTTTATTTTTTTATTATATACTAAAATGAATGTCATAAAAAACAACAATAATGAACTATTATATACTGGCGTTGCAACACATGCATGTGTACCACACCACCAACGTATATATCACCACTAAATAGGAGAAGGCAACTAAATGGCAAGACAATGTAGAAATTGATGGTCTAACAACAAATGGTGTGCTAATAATGCATCCGAAAGGTCAATTTTGCGGTGGTAATGCTAAGTGTGGTCTATGGCGTGAGTGTTCTGTGGGTGGTGATGTGTTCAGTTTGCGTGAGTCAAGATCGGCACAACAAAAGGGTCAACCGGTAAGTTCAAAAATAATATCTATATAGTATATTATTGTTAGTAATTTCGAATATATTCAGATATACGATGAATCGAATGTACTGCAAGATGGTACTTTAATAGATTTATGTGGTGCTACATTATTATGGCGTTCTGCAGAGGGTTTACAACATTCACCGGTAACTTTCAATTAATATTTTGTATATATATTATTATTATATATCTTATTGATTTATATTTGTTCAATTCTTAGACAAAACGTGATTTAGAAAAATTGATTGATGAAATTAATGCTGGTCGTCCACAGTGTCCTGTTGGTTTGAATACTTTAGTTATACCTAGAAAAGTGAATATTGGTGATCAAATAAATCAACCTTATGTGTACTTAAATTGTGGACATGTACAGGGTATGTATATATAATTATTTATACAAAATATAAATATATTTAACTTAATGATAAAACTATTTCTTTAAGGTCATCATGATTGGGGACAGGATAAAAGTACAGGTGCACGTCGTTGTCCAATGTGCCTAGAAGTTGGTCCTGTTGTTACATTATGCATGGGTCTTGAACCTGCATTTTATGTTGATGTGGGTGCTCCTACATTTGCATTTAATCCATGTGGTCACATGGCGACTGAAAAAACTGTCAAGTGAGTTTTCTTTTGAAGTGTGATTTTAAATAGTTACTAATGTTAATTGTATCTATATTCGATTATTTTCTACATATTTATACTCAATTAATATAGTTACGTCTGCTAAAGTAATTTTTTTTTGGTTTTACAATATACATATTCATTTAATGTATATTTTACATTAAATGATTTATTATGAATTAAGTATTTAGGTTAGCGTTGGATGATACCCTGCATAATAAATTTTTTTAAATCATAAAATCTTCTGGAAACCTTAAATATAAGTCTACTTTTTAACTTTCTTTTGGAAGGGGCACCGAAATTTTGATGGGAATGTGAACCCAGTTTTTCCTGAAATCATAACAAGAAAATAAATACATAAAATTGATTAACTATATATGTAATATATATAGTGTTCATATAAAATAACTGATCAGATATTGTATATATGAATATGTGTATACATCGGTTTTTACATCCAAAAATATTTGTAGTTGAGAAAAAATTTATTTATAATTATTTTGTATCATAATTATGCGTATGAGGGAAGTATGTTGAACTTATAACAAAGCTTAAGTTATTAATCTTCAATGATAATATTTTAATCTTGAAGACAGTAATTTGTAAACAAAATTTATGTTAAATAACTTACTGAGCTTTTCTAAAAACAAATTAAATCTTTCCGTAACTTAGGTAGCAATAAAAAAATTAGTTTTACTTGTTTTAAGCTATTTTCTGACGCAAGAAAGACATGTAAACTCTATATTAAACTTAAAACTATGTTTTCACGTTAATCAATTCCAATGCATGTCCTTTTAAACCTTTTGTTTTACTCAAATTAATAATAGTGCTTTGATCAAGCACTTAAAAAATTTTATGGATTCCTAAAAAGTGACCAATTCATAGTATTTTGTTTGCTATAATGAAGTTGTAATTTAATTTTAGTTGGCTTATATATCTATGTATAGTAAGTCGGCTCTTTTGGTTTTTGCTTCAAGAAATGAAATATTCGATCTTGTAGTTTTTACCAGTAATAGTGATGCTAGCCAAGGAAAAAAATAAATACTAAAAAGTTAAGCAATAGAATAGTATATAAAAGTATCGATATTTACTCATAAATGCGCTTCTATCGATTCTTTAGAGATAGCGAAAGTCCCTGTTGATATTCTTTGCCAATATCAGCAGAGGAAAGATAATCTTGCAATTAAATAAAAATTAAAATATTTGTTTTATTTGTCTTTTTGTAAGTTTAAATGTACTTTCATGATTCGAAATATGAAAAACTTTCAACTGTAAAAATATTCTTTCAATTTTTAAGCTATTCCATTAAATTCGTGCATAGCAAACCTAAATGATATTAATTAAAAATCTCATAATGAAAATGAACACATAAATGTATACAAGATTAGTAAATATTTTTATGTAAATATTAATTAAATTTAATATATGATTTTTTTGCAATTTCAGATATTGGGCTAATGTTGATATACCACATGGTACAAATGGCTTTCAGGCAGTTTGTCCATTTTGTGCGACGCCACTTGATGGTTCTTCTGGTTATATCAAATTAATATTTCAGGATAATTTAGATTAAATATATTAGGTCTTTTACAAATATATTAAAATTATTAAAATTATAAATTTAAATATTATTTTTATATTAATTATACATTAAAAAATATTTAAATTTAAAAATTTATTTATATAAATTATTGCAAATATTATTTAGAAATATTTTAGTTTGAATACATGTATGCCTGAAGCGAACATATAATTGAAATTAAGTAAAGTATTAAAAATATACAAAGAAAATAGCTATTAAAAAATTAATATTATTAATGCAAAATAGTGTAAAAATATATAATAAATAATATTTCTGTTAAAAAAAAATAAATTGTAGAAGAAAAGAAGTACACAATTTATAAAGAGATAACGATTAAATATATTTATATAAATAAAATATTAAAACGTGTAATTGTAAAGCATTGTATAAAGTAAAAGAAATAAATTCATATTAAATATAATAAATTAACTAGCAATTTGGTGAAATAAATTCATTAATGAAAAATTGCATATATAATTTAGAGCTTAAATATATAAAACGAAAACCTTAGATGTGTTGCTATTTTGAATATTTATAATAAATTAAAAATGTTTTTTTTTTGTATTTTCACTGCATGTGTTATTTTTAATTAAAATATTTTACTATCATTTTTTACAACTTTACACATATATTTGGTTAATATTTTTATACAAATTTATCACTTTATATAATTTTTTGAACACATTTTTTACCCACCATACCAATTTTATTTTCTACTATTAATTTTTAAATATTTTGTGTATTGTTGATTCGTAGCAACAAAGTTGTGTATAAAAATTTATATATTAAATATAAATATATACATTTATATGTATGTGAGAAGTTTTATGAATGTTAAGATATAAAAATTACATATTAAGCTTAAAAAGAAAACGCATATATTTTATTATTAAAAACGTTTTATTATAATGAATTAAATTTATTTTATTTTAGTAATTAATTTTTTTTTATTGATATATTTTAGACTTTTAACAAAAAGTACACAATGCGAAATGAAACTTAACTAATTTCATGATATATAACTGTATTGTAAAGAAACATCAGATAATATAAGAGATATACTATACTAACTATATACATATTAATTATATAGGATGATATATTATTTTCTTAATTTACCAAAGTCGTATCAATTTACTTTATCGCTGCCTAAGATATTATACAATTTTTGATTCAGATCCTATGTGCAAGTCATATGTTTTAAGTGCACACTGTGTAAAATCGAATGCAAATAGAATCTTAAAGTTTCCAAATCAAAACTTTTGCCAATTAAAATTTATATAAAATTTCAACTAAAACTTAAAACTGCAATAGAATTTATGATATAATGAAATTCATGATAATTTTTTTTTTAATTTAAAAGTACGAAAATGAAAGAGTAATAAAATTTTTCACTTTTAATATTAATACTAAAAAATAATCTAAAATATATTTATAAATTTATTATTTTAATAGAATAATATACATATATTGAAATTTAAAAATATTTAAAATTTTGATCATATACAGCGATATTTTATTTACTATTTAATTTTTAATCTTATTGAAACTATTGCAATACAAATTATTTAGTATTGTATAGAATATTAGTTTTAGCTTCACTTATGATTACTAATTTTTGTTTTATAAATTTTATGGTAAATAAATACATTTTATTTAAATATTCAGTATAATATTAAAGCTATTTGTCAAAAGAAAAAGGAATTATATTATTTTAAGTTTTATATCAGATACTGCATAAAAAAATTGTTCATTGCTGTCATTGTTTTCAATTATATTACAGTTCTGTACAAAATCATAACATTATTTTATTCATCCTATTATATATATATATTTTATTTAAGCTATTCTCAGCTCGTATTTTTTAAATGTATCATTTCATGTTCTTTTAGTAGTGTATGTATGTAATTATTAAATTTTCATATATATATTTAAATTTAGTTTTAATTAATAAAAAAATTTTTTTACAAACAACTAACACGATTTAAAGAAAAGCCTGTAAAAAAAATTTATTATGAAGGAAAATATCATTTAATTGCGCTATTTTCTAAGCCATATTTTTTAAGAATATTTAAAATGAATATAAATAATGTTCAAAATAAATTTACACATAAAAAAATTTATTTTGATTTAATTGAATATTATACTTGGCTTTACAAAACTAAAATATTTATATTTAATAAAAAAAAAAATTTACATAAATTAATAACGTTAACAACAAATCTTAAAAAACAAGAAAATAAAATAATTAATGCAACAAAAAATATCTCTAGAAAACAAAAGAAAGATAGCAATTGTGTAATTATTTAATTTTATTGTAAAATTATAAATTAACAAATAAAGATCAAATGAACTGAAATTTAATTAAAATCACGATTTATTAATTTAATAATTTTTCAAGTGTCAAATATATAGATTATTTCTGAAATTTTTGGGTCTATATGATAATTCCTATTTTTATAAATTTTCTTATCTATTCGACACATTCATGACATGGTATAACAAAAACAAAAGCATATCAAACTGTATTTCGTTTCAAGTATTTCGTATTCAAGTATTAAAATTATTTTCAATATTCAAGAAATTATAACAGTTTTTATTTATAGGAAGATTCAATTAAACAAAGTCAGAATTATATAAATGAAAGACACAATTCATGTAAAGATGGTTGTTAGGTGCTAATGGTTTTAAAAGTGGGTTTAGTTTTTAAATGTGGAGGTTTAAGTGGGAGGTTTCATTATTTATCTAAAAATTATTCCCAAATATTTATTTTATCTTTATATATATAATTCTTCTGTACGTGTGTTGACAGTGAATTCCTCGTAAACGGCTGAACCGATTTTGATGAAATTTTTTGTGTGTGTTCAAGTGGATTTAAGTATGGTTTAGATTCACAATTTTGTCCACTGGATAATTTTTTTAAATTATTATACAGTTTTTTGGTATCCATATACATTTATATTAGATATTTAAAATTTATTCACGCTTACTTTGATTTGTTTAAAAAGTTGAAAGTCTCTAAAATGAATCGTTCAACCATTCTGTTGAATTTTTGAATTCGCTGGATTTACCAGGAATGTCACCACATAACTTAAGATTAAAAATTGGCTCACCTATAATTATGCTCCTGCCACGAATCCCAATGATCCCTTCAGAGTCACCCATTCCATTCAGACGCCTGCAGTTTCTCATTCGCTTGGCATTTGCCATGACTATTAATAAGTCACAAGGTCAAACAATGTCGATTTGTGGGATAGATCTAGAAAATCAGGTCTTTTCACATGGCCAATTATATGTGGCGTGTTCTCGTGTTGGAAAACCGTCAAGTTTATTCATTTATACTCCTCAAGAATTGACTAAAAATATTGTTCATCAACTCGCATTAAGATGAAATTAAAAAAACATTATTGATTATTACGAATTGTTTTTCGAAAAATTGATGCTATTTCAAAATAAAGAATAACAAAATTATTATATTATTTGTCTGTCATTTCAACATCTGTCGGGTCTGCTAGTATATATATATAATCATTTTATATATTTTTATTATAAGTCGTTTTAATAAACTTATCCCAACTGTTTCAGTTATATTCTTAACTATTTAATGACTTATTCATAAAATTGTACGAGAAAAACATTAGCGTATTAAACTATATTTCCTATATCTTCTTGGAATTCCAGTATTAAAGTTATATATTCAAGACAATGTTCACATACAGCATTTCTTGTTGTCGAACAAAGTGAGTCGAACAAAGTGAGAATGGTAAGGGCAAGACACGATTTATATAAAAATTGTAATTATATTAGAATAATTTAGAAGAAGCTATCAATAAATGATCAAAGGCTTTTTAATCACATTATTTGTTCACTTCATTTCATACTGCCTGATTTAATTAATTTAATTTAACTAATCTATTTTAAAGCGTAATTAAGCGACCGTGAATGGCAGCGTTGAAAAATTTTTTGTCGATCACTGCCACAAGAATCTGTGCAGAATCAAACGCCATGTTACAAAACGTTCATAAGTTGGAGAGTTACAGAAAATCTTAAAAATATAAAAAAAAAATGAATAATTTACTACGTCATTTGAAATTGGTATATTTCCACTTTATTAAATGGTAAAATAAAAATTTAATGAAGACTTTATCAAAAAATGTAAGCCCTCCAATTTGGATTTAATGCTCAATTGGTTCTAAATAATTTCAAATTAAGCTAAGATATCATCGAAACAAATTATTTTGCTTTAAAAAACAATGCAATATACAAAATAATGTACAATTAAAGGTAAAATATTTATTTTAGAGCAGTGGTGAGTTCACTTTTTGCACAAAAAATAAAAATTTGTAAATTAGTTTTTATTATTATTTT